ATTCCCGAGGGCTTTGTGAACAGTGCCGTCATCAACGACTACCAGCCGGGGGGCTGCATTGTCTCCCACGTGGACCCCATCCATATTTTTGAGAGGCCCATCGTCTCCGTCTCCTTCTTCAGCGACTCGGCGCTCTGCTTTGGGTGTAAATTCCAGTTCAAACCCATCAGGGTCTCGGAGCCCGTTCTCTTCCTGCCCGTGAAGAGGGGAAGCGTCACGGTGCTCAGGTAACTCGCCCGCGTTGCCGAGGCCTCTGCTAACGTGCCGAGGCTCGGTTGTGTAACGCTTGTCACGAGGCACACGGATGCACACCCTGACAGCAGCTCGGCCTTGATCTTGCCTGCCTGTGGGCATGTGGGGTCTCGCTGCGGCAGCAGGGATGAAGGAAAGATCTGGGGGGGGGTGTTCCTGCCGCCGTGGCGGATGGGGATTTGGGTGGGTGATTGATTTTTTTGGGGAGTTTTGTCCCCTCTGCAGGGCTCAAGGCGAGTTCTGGTGGCAGCGCGGTCACTTGCAGAGCTGAGCTTTGCTGTAGTTCCCGTAAATCATTAAAATAACACATTGAGACACAAAATGGATCCTCTGCCCAAGAGCGGTCAGAGCGGAGCAGCTGGTTGGGATGGGGCTCCTGGCTCTATTCTTAGCTCGGCCGGTGCCTCCCTGACCTGACCTTAAGCGTAGACAGGAGGTGTGAATGGCCTCGTCTTCCCAGTCTGTAAACTGGGAATGCTAAACCCTTCCCTGCCCAATGCCGATGGGGGGAATGGAGTGCAGAGCCCCATGGGACTGTCGCTTGGAAATGCGGTGGGTCCTGGGCACAAGAAAGGACTTCATGTGCGTTCTTGCAAGTGGGGGCAGAGCTGTGGAGGTGAAATGACCTGCCCAAGGTCACGCAGCTGGTCGGTAGTAAAGCTGGGATTGGCACTGGGAAACGCCTGCTTCCTAATCCTTGCTGCCTCCCGCTACGTGCTGGGCGGGCAGAGCAGGCAGGTAAGGGGACAGGCGGGGCGTCTGCAGGCTGGTGCCTAAGGACCCGTTATTGTCCAGGCCTCGGGGAGGGTGGCTCAAAAGCCAGCGCTGCCGGACTCAGTGAGCACCAGCCCCTCGTGTCCTGAAGGTCAGAGTGCTCCCTGCCAGGAGCAGGGATCACCCGGCCTCTGCCAGCAGTGCTTCAAGCTACCAACTGCCTATCCTCGTTTGGAGTTTGGGGTTTTGGTGGTTTTGGGTTTGTTTTTATTTTGGACTAGTGAAGGTCCAGGCTGGTTTTCAGGACTCCCAGGCCGTAACACAATCCCCTGCTTTGGCTTGTAAAGTGATCGCTGCAGGGCTCGGGAAGGAATTTTTCCCCCCCACATACACACAGCCTCACACCGTTGACTAGTGCATCAATAATAAATGGTGAGATCTCACATAGCTTTTATCTCAGAAAAGCTGCACAAACATTAACGAATCCTCGCCGTACACCAGGCGTTAGGTAACTTCTGTGAATTAGTGAGGGATGAGGGAGGCCGCAGAGGGAAGCA